GAATAAACCAGGCTGGAGTTTTTCTCATGCTGTCTGAGGCCCGGATGATGTGGTTTCTTTGTTTTGTTTTGTTTTTGCCCAGGCGTTTTGCTACTGCTGCTTTTTTCTTTATTTCCTTATTTTATTTGTTGTTATTATTATTTTAATTTGACCAGAGAGAGACAGAGGGAGAGAAAGGGAAAGTGAGAAAGCAAGCTGCCAGGTCCGGGTCTCGAACTGCAGTCGAGCATGTGGGAGTCAGCACCTTTACTCCCAGGGCACCCGCCGGTCCTGGGTTATTGCTTCTAAACCTCCTGCTCTCTGGCTCCTGGGCCTCCCCGGGATTAATCCACATGACCTTGTCAGACTGTTTCCCTGGGGATGCGCATCCCGCATCGTCCTGTGGGCGCCCCACCTGCTGGGGTAGCCTGCAGGGTGAGCAGACTCCTGCGGTCTGGGGAGCGCCCACCACCAGGCCCTCACTCCAGCCTTCCTCTCCCAGCTGTGCGACTTCTCTGGCTCTCCTCAAACTCCCCTTCCCTTCCCCACCCAGATAGCCAGGTGGGGCTGCCACGCTTTCCTCCCTTTTCACCCCTTGCAGCCCTCAACAACCCTCTGTAGCAGCTAGAACACCTGCCGCCACATCTCCCATGGCCTCCAGGGTGTGGTTAAGCCGTGGGACCGCGAGGTGGTAGGTTTTCTTCCCCCTTGGATTTTTTTAAAAAATTTATTTAAATGTATTATTTATTTTCATTTGACCAGAAAGAGACAGAGAAAGAGAGGGAAATTGAGAAAGCAAGCCACCAGGTCTGGGACTCAAACCACATGGTCAGCCATGTGGGAGTCCAGTGCCTTAACCACCATGTCACCTGTCAGCCTCTCTCTTGAATGTTAATTTTCACTTTTTGTGTACAGAGTTTTTTTCTATAGGGCACGTGTGCTCGCTGGAGAGACGGTGACAGAAAGCGAGAAACCATCGCCCAGGGAATGGCCAAGCCAAAATCCCTTCTCTGCAGTCTCTTCTCAGGATTTTGGGCACGCATGGACACTCGCCTGGCATGAGTTTTAAACTGCTGGGTCTGGGACTTGAACCATGGTCGACTACGTGAGAGTCCAGTGATGTGACCATTATGCTATCTGCTGGTCCTCCAATTTTCACACTTTTAAAAAAAAAATTGTTTATTTAATTTTATTCATTCATTTACTTTAATTTGACTACAGAGAAGCAGAGAGAGAGAGAGAGAGTGAGAAAGCTAGTCACCAGGTCCGGGACTTGAACCATGGTCAGCCATGTGGGAGTCCAGCACCTTAACCATCATGCCACCTGCTGGTCCCCTAGTTTTCACAAACTTTTAAAAACAAAACCCAAGCAAAAGAAATCAAGAACAACAATTTTAAAACTAGACAGTTTAGGGGCTGGCAGGTGGCTTAGTGGTTAAAGGTGTTGGACTCCCACACGGCCAACTGCGGTTCAAGTCCCAGACCTGGCATCTGGCCTTTTCAGTTTCTCTCTCTCTCTCTCTCTCTGTCCCTCTCTGGTCAAATTAAAATAAATAAATGGGTAAATAAAGTTAAATAAAATAATTCTTAAAAAAAAAAAAAAAAACCTAGGCAGTTTACCTGGTGGTTAGGCATGTGACTTTGGAGTCAAATTTCCGAACTTTATTTTTGGCATATATAAAATGGAGAAAATGTCCCTACAGGACAATGGTAAGGATAGGAAGTCCCTTACAATGTTCGCTGCTGGGGTCAGTGAGTAGTAGGGTGGTTAAGGCACTGGACTCCCACATGGCCCACGGCAGTTTGAGTCCCAGACCTGGTGACCTGAAAATCACATCAGGCATGTGTGCATTCCCAAGGTCCTGAAGGAGAAGGGATTATGATCTGGCCATCCCCCGGGGAGTGATTTCTCACTTTCTCTCTCATTATTTCTCTTTATCTCTCTCCAGCGAGCACACTTGTTTTAATGGCAGAAATCTAAAAAAAAAGTTAGCTCTAGGGTACGTGCGCTCGCCAGAAAGACAGAGAGAGACAGAAAGCGAGAAATCACCCCCTAGGGGGATGGTCACGCCGCAATCCCTTCTCCTCCTTTCTTCTTTTGGGATCTTGGGCACGCACGCACATGCGCCTGGCGTGAGTTTAAGCCACTGGGTCCAGGACTTGAACCGCAGTCAGCTACGTGAGTGTCCAGCGATGTAGCCATTACGCTATCTGCTGGTCCCATGTGGATTCTGGTTCTATATCCACAGAGTCAACCAACCACAAATCAAAAATATTCAAAAAATAGACAGGGCAGGCTTTGTGGCTCAAGAGTAGTCAGGTACTATTCAAGAAAAGCTGGATCTCACACAGCGACTGCAGTTTGAGCCCCTGGCCGGGACAGGCGGACAGGTCACCAGGTGCCCAGACCCTGTGGGGGTACCCTTCTCATACTCGCTCTCACCACATGCACACGATCATGAAAAAAAAAAAAAGCTTTATGAATAAAAGAAATAAAAATAACCACAATAAAAAATATACATTTAAAAACAATACATTGTGGGAACCAGCAGTTAGCGTAATGGCTATGTCGCTGGACTCCCACGTAGTCGACCGCGGTTCGTGTCCCGGACCCGGTGGCTTAAAACTCACGCCGGGCGCGTGTGCGTGCATGCCCAAGATCCCGAGAGGAGAGTGGAGGAGAAGGGATTGCGGCGTGACCATCCCCCCTGGGGGGTGATTTCTCGCTTTCTGTCTCTATGTCTCTCTCTGTCTGTCTGGCGAGCGCACGCGCCCTACAGTGAAAATCTCTCCAAAAAAAAAAAAAAAAAAACCAGTACATTGTAACAACTGCTTACCTAGCACTGACACTGTATTAGGTATTACAAGTTATCTAGGAGGTTTAAGTATAGAGGAGGATGTGCGTCCGTTATGCAAATACGACCCCGTTTCAGAACCTTGTACGTTTATTTCTTCCCTAGGACTGGAGGAGGGGGGAGAGAGAAAGACAAGCACCCATAGCAGGGTCTCACCCTGGGATCTCATCCCTGCCCCAGCCTTCCCAGCCCTCCAGGATCATGGGTACGCTGTCCCGGGGTACTGTGGAACCCAACCAGGGTCAGCCCTATGGACCCCGCACCCCCTGGGCTGTGGCACGGGCACCTCAGTGCAGCCCAGCACTCCCTGATGTAAGGGACTCTCAGGGACTTCAGCAGCTGCAAATTTTGGTTCAGGGAAGGCGTCTCCTGGAGCCAGTCATTCCCCACACTCCCAACCCCATAGCCTAGGCACGACTATACTAGAACAGGTAAATTCAGGCAGCAGGTGGTGTGGTGGTTAAGGACGCTGGACTCCCACATGGCTGACCCCGGTTCAAGTTCTGGACCTGGTGGGTGGCTTTCTCACTTTCCCTCGCTCCCTCTCTCTCTTGTCCCTCTCTGGTCAGAATTTGAATAAATAAATAAAGATAAATAAAATAATATTTTTCTTTAAATAATTATTTAACTTTTTTTTTTTTTTTAACTTATTTTAACTTGACCA